AGTTTATGAAATTTTTCTCTGTTTTCCTATTCCATGAGTGGTTTAACAATGCATAAAACTGGTTAACATCTTGGGAATTTAATACTTCCTGGTATATCTATCAATAGTTGTTTTTCAGTTTCCATTGTGTTCAATTCAAATAGCCAAAGGACAAAAAAAGGAACAGAATAGCTTTTATTTGTTTTAGATTTCAAGTAACAGCAAGCTAATTAGATAAAACAATCACTTATAGGCAATACTGATCCATCATATAATTAGGAAAAAAAGACAAAGACCTGAAAACAGAATGTCACCTTACAAGTGTTTTATGGTTACAAAAACCAAACTATGTAAGATTCAGTGCAAATAGAGTGCAACCAAAACTCTTTAATTGGGACCCATCAGCATTCTATTTCCTCGAATGGAACTTCATCTTTGCTTTCTGAAATGTTGACTAACTTGATAAATTATGACCAGATATATTTCTGTACAAAAGAAATTGCATGAAATCTATTTGTACAGTCATGTGCCATACAATGAAGTTTTGGTCAATGGCAATCACATATATGAATGTAGTACCATAGCATCATAGTACTATATTTTTACTCTAATTTTTTGTATGTTTATATATACAAATACTAATCATTTTGTTACCACTGTTTACAGTAGTATTCAGTATAACAACATGCTGTATAAGTTCGTAGCCAAGGAACAGGCTACATGGTATAGGTAATATAGCCTATTGCTAGCCCATATGGCTTATTGCTGTATATACCTTACATAGCAAGAGCTCAATATGATTAACTACCAGTAACAACATTGACTATTTTAACAGAAATACCAGACATTATTATCAGAAAAAAAATGATAGTTTTAAAAATATCTTTATTTGGTAAAAAATAAAGGCTGGTGATAATGATGTTTGAAAAGAAAACCAAAGTACTACAGATGATTGGTATACTGTCTAGCACAGGCCATATGGTATATAGTGTTGAAGGCTATTATCATCTAGGTTTATAAGTAAGTATACTCTATGATGTTTACACCACAATGAAATTGACTAATGTCTGAATTTCTCAGTATGTAAACTGCTCCCCATCATTAAGTAACACATGACAAGCCGTTGAGAGAAGGAGGTATACACTAAATACATGTGTTCTCTGAAAAGTTCAATTTGATGAAGACCACCAGAGAAAATGATATCTAGAAGCTAGATATCATTGGCATTTCTAATGTATCTGGTAATTCCTCCTGAGCTAAACTGCCTATAAAAGCAAGATATTTCTACAAAAAGCCTTGTCTGGTTTCTCATATCACTTTATTTCAGATGCATTTTATGGGAACTTTGCTACATATTCTACCTCCCATCTGGTTCATATTTAACAGGGTATGCTACCTGTTCCTTTTTAGGATCCAAAGCCAGATATCTCTGATATAGTATAAATGTGGAAGGTCACACTACTCCAACAAACTTCTCTGGCTTCTTTTATGTCTCTTGTAGTTAGGTAAATTTGAGGTTTTGGAACAATCTGTGCCATCTTAAAATGGAAGTAATAAGAGGACTTGAGTGCTTCATCTCATAAAGCAAAAAGACTGGTATTTATGGAATACCAAATGTGAGGGCAGTCAAAAGCAGGGCAGCTGATATGGTTTGACTGTGTCTCTACCCAGATCTCACCTTGAATTGTAATAATCCCCACGTGTCAAGAGCAGGGCCAGGTGGAGGTAATTGAATTGTGGGGGTGGTTTCCCCCATGCTGTTCTTGCGGTAGTGAATAAGCCTCACAAGATCTAATGGTTTTGTAAAGGGTAGTTGCCCTAGACAAGCTCTCTTGTGTGCCACCACATAAGACATGCTTTTGTTGCTCCTTCACCTTCCTCCATGATTGTGAGACCTCCCCAGAGTGTGGAACTGAGTTCATTAAAACTCTTTTTCTTTATAAATTATCAAGTCTCAGGTTATTTCTTCATAGCAATATAAAAATGGACTAATAGAGTAAATTGGTACCTGTAGAGTGGAGTGCTGCTATAAAAATATCCAAAGATGTGGAAGCAACTTTAGAACTGAGTAACAGGCTGAGGAGGGCTCAGAAGAAAACAGGAAAATGTGGGAAAGTTTGGAACTTCCTAGAGACTTGTTGAATGGCTTTGACCAAAATGCTGACAGTATTATGGAACAACAAAATCCAAGCTGAGGTGGTCTCAGATGGAGATGACTTGTTGGGAACTGTAGTAAAGGTCACTCTTACTATACAAAGAGACAGGCAGCATTTCGCCCCTGCCCTAGAGATCTGTGGAACTTTGAACTTGAGAGAGATGATTTGGGGTATTTGGTGGAAGAAATTTCTAAGCAGCAAACCATTCAAGATGTGACAGGGCATAAAAGTTTGGAATTTTGCAGCCTGAAGATACGGTAGAAAAGAAAAACCCATTTTCTGGGGAGAAATTCAAGCCAGCTGCAGAAAGTTGCATAAGTAACAAGGAACCAAATGCTAATGCCAAGACAAGGGGGGAAATGTCTCCAGTAAATGTCAGAGACCTTCCCGGCAGCTCCTCCCATCACAGGCCTGCAAACCTAGGAGGGAAAAATGGCATTCCGGGCCAGGTTCAGAGCCCCTGTTGCTGAGTGCAGCCTCAGGACTTGATGTTCTGCATCCCAGCCGCTCCAGCCATGGCTAAAAGGGACCAGGTACAGCTCGGGCTGTGACTTCAGAGGGTGCAAGCCCTGAGCCTTGGCAGTTTCCACATGGAGTTGAGCCTGCAGTGCACAGAAGTCAAGAATTGAGTTTTGGGAACCTCTGCCTAGATTTCAGAGGATATATGGAAATGCCTGGATGTCCAGGCAGAAGTGTGCTGCAGGAGCAAAGCCCTCATGGATAACCTCTGTTAGGGCAGTGCAGAAGGGAAATGTGGGGTTGGAGCTCCCAGAGTCCCCATTGGGGCACCAGCTAGTGGAACTGTGAGAAGAGGGCCACCATCCTCCAGACCCTAGAATGATAGCTCCATTGACAGTTTGCACCATGTACTTAGAAAAGCCGCAGAAACACAACACCAGCCGGTGAAAGCAGTTGGAGGGAGGCTGTACCCTGCAAAGTCACAGAGGCAGAGCTGCCCAAGACCATGGGAACCCCTCCCTTGCATCAGTGTGACCTGGATGTGAGAAATGGAGTCAAAGGAGATCATTTTGGAACTTTAAGATTTGACTTTCCTGCTGGATTTTGGACCTGCATGAGGCCCTTAGCCCCTTCATTTTAGCCAATTTCTCCCATTTGGAAAGGACGTATTTATCCAATGCCTGTACCCACATCATATCAAGGAAGCAACTAACTTGCTTTTGATTTTACCGGTTCAGAGGCAGAAGGGACTTGACTTGTCTCAGATGAGACTTTGGTCTGTGGACTTTTGTGTTAATGCTGAAATGAGTTAAGAATTTGGGGGACTGTTGAGGAGGCATGATTAATTTTGCAACGTGAGGACATGAGATTTTGGAGGGGCCAGGGGCAGAATGATATGGTTTGGCTGTGTTCCCACCCAAATCTCATCTTGAATTGTAGTTCCCATAATTTCTACATATTGTGGGAGGAACCCAGTGGGAGATAATTGAATTATGGGGGCAGTTTTCCCCATACTGTTTTCGTGGTAGTGAATAAGTCTCACAAGATCTGATGTTTTGTTTTGTTTGTTTTTGAGAGGGAGTTTCACTCTTGTTGCCCAGGCTGGAGTGCAATGGTGGAGTCTCAGCTCACTACAACCTTCACCTCCCGGGCTCACGTGATTCTCCTGCCTCAGCCTCCCAAGTAGCTGGGATTACAGGCGCCTGCCACCATGCCTGGCTAATTTTTGTATTTTTAGTAGAGATGGGGTTTTACCATGTTGGCCAGGCTGGTCTCAAACTCCTGACCTAAAACGATCGATCTGCCTCAGCCTCCCAAAGTGATGGGATTACAGACATGAGCCACTGTGCCTGGCCTGATCTGATGGTTTTATAAGGGGTTTCCCCTTTCACTTGGCTCTAATTCTCTCTTGCCTGTCACCACGTAAGACATGTCTTGTGCCTTCCACCATGATTGTGAGGTCTCCCTGCCATGTGGAAGTGAGTGCATTAAACCTCTTTTTCTTTATAAATTACCCAGTCTTCGGTATGACTTTATCAGCAGCATGTAAATGGACTAATATGGCAGTCTACTTCCTAATGACAGGTTCCTAATGATAATTTATACTGTCATCATATGAGGTAGCTCTAACTGAGAAGGATAACAGGAATGCTTCATATCACTTACTTCTGAGACTGAAAAATTGTCTTCACCCTTCACTATAATTACCATCAGCAAAAATTTTATAATCAATATATACATCAAGAAGCTATGCACAAAGTACATGAATTTACATTACCCAACAGGAACCACTTATAATACATAAAGGACTTCTCTACATTTGTAGAAGAAAAAAACATATACTTATGAACAGTTCTGGGGGGTGGGTGGGTGTGTGTGTGTGTGTGTGTGTGTGTGTGTGTGTGTGTGTATGACTGTTTGAAATGACATCATAGATAATCCTCTTTACTGCCTGAGATTTTGGACCAAAACTATTAATACTCATTTACATTCTATTTAATTTTGTTTTAGGAAACATTTATTCCAGAGAATTTTTAAATCTGCATAAGATATTTTATTATACTTGTGTTCTACTATAAGAAGTAATTATGATTAATCCAGTTTTGTTTACAGTTTTAATTATGCTTACAATAACCCTAATTTTGATAGACAATATTATCTGTTGATATCAACTATAAAAATTGACTCAAATACCCAAACAGGTATCAGTGGGTTTTATCCAATATAAATAAAAGTATTATATAGTGATTACATGAAATAATTTAATGGGTATAAGAGGAAATAGTTACATAAACTGAAAACTATTTTAGGCCAAATGTATTAATAGGTAAAAGTTGTACATGAAATGCTATTTTATACTATAATTGCTATTATTATGTAATAGCCGTACTATTAAGGACTTCTTACCTGCCCCTTTCAACTGCTAAGGCATCAAGTTCATCAAAGAAGATAATGGAAGGCGCCACTGCTCTTGCTTTTCGGAAGGTCTGGTGGAAAGAGTGCCACATTAGCTAAAGATGAGCAAACACTAGAAAATTCTGTAGTTGGTTTGTGTTTTAAAACTATAGAACTAAATCTATTAGGTACAAGTCAACCACCCCAGTCACTTTGTATAGACCTTATAATATATGCTCAGAACTTTATAATGGATGGAAAAGTATCCCCTTCAATGGTGCTTACAGAGACAAGACTATCGGTATGTACTCATATAGATGCGGGGGAGGCAATTCAGTTAAGCAATCAGAAAATTTCAGTTAAAATCCCAGGTCCACTACTAGTAACTGTGTGACTTTCCGCAGTTCACTTCTGTAAACCTCAGTTTCTATATTTATTAAATGGAGATGATAATAAACGCCTACCTAGACGGTTAGTTTAAGAACTGAATTCAAAGAAGAACACAAAGCATTTGGCACAATGCCTGAAACAGTAAGAGCTGAATAAATGATAGTTATTATTAACTATTAATAACAACATTAACTATTTTAACAGAAATGCTGGCTATTATTATCAGAAAAAATGATAGTTAAAAAAAAGTATTTGGTAAAAATAAAAGCTGGCAATATGATATTTAAAAACAAGACTGAAGTATTGCAGATGATGAAAACTGCATTTTTGAATAATAAAATAATATTCACCTGAAGAAAAAAAATACCACTAAGATCTGGATTTGGAAATGCCAAAGTCTGTTACTTAAATTAAAAGGGAAACCACACAGGACAGAAGTGTGATTCTCCTATGCTGAGTACCATTTAAGGCACAATTTCTTACCTCTCTAACTGCTCTTTCAGATTCACCAACATATTTATTCATTAATTCAGGCCCCTGCATGAAAAGAAAACAACTGTTCAGTGTCTTTATAAATGCAATCATGTATATTTCTTTCAATGAAGTAGAAAAAATATATACAAAAGAGAAAATAAACAAAATCTGCTTATTAATCCCTTTAGCATGCTTATTTTCTGTGTGTTATTTATGCCATAAAAGTTAAAGCCATTCTACGTTCCAGAAGCTACACTAATACAAAGCAAAGGCTGTGGCTAATCATAATATTTTAACAACTTATTCATCATCTATCTATAACTTTATCCACATTTTCACACTGTATCAGACGTGGCGCTAGGCACAGAAGATGGAACAGCCATTTGTTAGACCAATACAAAGGCAACATCCACATATTTCCAGGCCTAACCAGTGGCTAGTTCTAAGCAGGTCTACTTACCAGATCTGAAGATGCAAATTTTTGGACATTAATATTTCTGAACTTTAACATTTTTATTTCCTAAGTACCTATAATATCAAATAGTGTAAGAAACACAGTAGACTTACTTTTTTTTTACCACATATATTATCTACTCTCTTAGGATAAACAGTCACCCAAAGAAGTTATGAATTAAATTGTCCCATAATGATAGATGACCTTCTCAACTGTGGGGATGTTTCTCCCAGCATCTGGCTATGCTGACACAGTTCCTCAAACATCCCAAAGAACAATAGACATGTGTGTGCCTCTCTCTCCCTCTGTGTGTGTGTGCACGAGTGTACATGTACCCCCGCCACACACATACACATACCCCTTACTTTAAACAAGATTCATATTCTATTCCATGCAGATCACCAGTCCAGCTAATTCCAAGGATATAACCAGACACTGATTTGTCTATTTCCTAAACAATTTATATTAATTTTTAAAAATCTGACTGACTGAAACACATAGGCAAACCCAAAGTTAGTACAAGAAAACAAATAATAAAGAGCAGAAATAAATGAAATTGAGACTAAAAAATACAGAAGATCAACAAACGAAATCTTTAAAAAGACAGAAGAAAAGAAAACTTGATCCAAATTATAAAAACACTGGAGTGAGAAAAAAAAATGTTCAATACAAACAGATACAGAAATAAGAGATGTCATAAACTTGGCAAAGAAAGTCTTAACGGGTATTATAAATATTTTCAAAACTTTTCAGGAAAATACTATGCAGTTATTGGCCTGGCCAAAATAAATTTTAAAAAAAGATGATGAAAAAGAATTTTTAAAAAGAGTTCTGAGAGCCTCAAAGACACAGGTCCCTTAATAATAGCAATATTAAGAGGTTTAACAAATGAAGGGTCTTTAAAAAGTTCATGTAAAAGATCTATTATTTTAAAAATTATGCATGGATTTCAGTTATTTTTGCCAAAATAAATTCATACTAACTTGTTAAAACATGTCTGAACTGAGTCTAGTTTGAGGCACTAAGGATAAGATATCAGTTTGAAGAGCCTCTGTCAGAGCCACATGAACTCTGTTAAAATTGAAGTAAGAACAAGCACCAAATTTATGGTGAAGGTTGGATAGAAAAATGGTAAAACTACTGATGCTTTATGAAAAGTTCATGAGGACAATGCCCTAAATGAGGCAGCAGTTTACAGAAGTTTAAGAAAGAACAAGACTATGTTGAAGATGAAGCCCTCAGTGGCTGACCTTCCACATTAATTTGCAAGAAAAAAACTCATCTTGTTTGTGCCCTAATTGTAGAAGATGAATGATTAACAGCACAAACAATAGCCACCACCAGAGCCACCACAATTGGTTCAGCTTACACAATTCTGACTGAAAAATTAAAGTTGTGCTAACTTTCCACATTATTGGGGCCAAAATCCTTATGCCTAGATCAGCTGCATAGAAGAACAGCACTTTCAATCAAAATTGTAAACAAGTAGGATCAAGATCCCAAAGTACTGCTTCAAAGAATTGTAACAGGAGATTAAACACCACTTTACAGGTATGATCTTAAAGACAAAGCACAATCAAAGCAATAGCTACTAAGACATGGAAATAGTCTGGTCACAGCAAACATGCACTGGTCAAGAGCAAAGGTCATGGCAACAGTTTTTGTGAATGCTCAAGATATTTTGCCTGTTGACTTTCCAAAGAATGATAATATCTACTGACTGCAAGTGTTTTGAGAAACTCAGCAAAAGCTTTAGCACAAAAATGTCCAGGAAAGCTTCACCAGAGAGTCCCCTTTTACCACAATGCTCCTGCTCATTTGTCTCATCAAACAAGGGCAATTTTATGAGAGTTTTAATGAGAAATCATTAGGCATATATCTCACAGTCCTGATTTGGTTTCTTTTTGTTTCTTAATCTTTAAATATCTTTAAAGAGCACTCATTTTTATTCAGTTACTAATGTAAAAAATGTGACAACTGATATGATTAAATGCCCAGGACACTCAGTTCTTTAGGAACAGAATGGCTGCTATCATCACTTACAAAAGTATCTTGAACTTGATGAACCTTTGGTAGAGAAATAAAATTTATGTTGTTTTTATCTTTTAATTCCATTTTGTCCACAAACTTTTTGAAGTCCCTTCATATACACAATTGGAATGCCAGAAGACAAGTGAAAGAGGATGACAAAAACATAGTCGAATTTGATTTTTAAAATATTAACCACAGATCCAAAGAAGCTCAATGAAATCCAAGGAAACCCCATCAAGATGCATCATTATCATATTACTAAAAACTGATAATAAAGTCTTAAAAGAAATCAGAATATAAGAACACATTATATATCTGTAAACAACAAATTATGGCCGACTTCTTATCAGAAACAATTCAATGACAGTGGAACACAAGGGCTGCAAGAGTGACAATGGAACACAAGGGCTGCAAGAAAAAAACCTGTCAAGCTAGAATGGCATATCTTTACAAATTAAAGATGAGAACAAGATATTATCAGACAAACAGAAGCTGAGAGGATACATTACTAGTAGATCTTCACTACAAGAAGTGTTATAAGAAGTTCTAAAGCTTGATGGGAATTTACATTAAGTGGAAACCTAGATCTACACAAAGAAATAAGAGTTAGAAATGGCAAATATGTGAATAAATACAGAATAGCTCCTTTTTCCATTAATTTCTTTAAGAGATAACTGACTAAAATAGAAGTTTACACTCTACAATATAAAGTGTATAGCATATTTAGAGGTAAAATACAGAATACAGCATAAGAAAACAAAGGTATACTGATGTAAGACCTTACACTATAAAGTAGTACATTGTTATTTGAAGACAGAATGTAAGTACATATAGGGTAGATGTTTGAGCAAGTATTTTTTTAAGTAAAATAAACAGGTGTAGCTATTAAGACAATAGGGGAGATAAAATTGGATATCAAAATGCACTCGATCCAAAAGAAAAGAGGAGAAACGTGGAGGAAAAAAAAAACCAGAAATGGCAAACAGACAAAAATTATGGACATTAACAAATCTTTCAAGTTGCAAACATGCCTGATGAAAAGGAGACCATCTTTAATATTGTTTTTGTATGGTGCTGCTATGGACTAAATTTATCCCCCACAAATTCATATGCTGAAATCCTAATCCACAATGTGATGCTTTTAGAAGATAGGGCCCTTGGGAAGTAATTAATGAGTGGAGTCCTCATGAATGAGATTAGTGCCCTTATAAGAAGAGACAGGAGAACTTGACTGATCGATCTCTCTCTCTCTCTCTCTCTCTCTCTCTCTTTTTTCTCTCTGCTCTCCACTATGTGAGGCTATGTCAAGATGACCACCTGAAAATCAGGCAGTGAGCCCTAAGCAGACACCAGATCTGCCAGCACTTAGATCTTGGACTTCCCAGCCTCCAGGTTTGTGAGAAATAGATTTTCCTTGTTTAAACCACCCAGTCTATGGTATTTTGTTACAGCAGACTGAAGTAAGACAATTGCCTTCACAATGCTGCTTCAAAAATATTGAACTATTATAATATGGTAACAGATGAGTAGGTTAGAACATATGAGAATTAGGGCAGGAAAGTTAAGAGCAAAAATAAGAAAGGGACAGGAAGAACATCTCAAAGTTCAGACTGACAGAATCCAGCTTCGCCAGCAACATTGCCATCCATCGTATTCAATTAAAATGAGGTATCCAACAGCATAAACACAGGAATACTTAAGTAATGACGGAAGTAGTTATATCTTTCTGCCTGATTTTTTTCTACTAATCCAAGATGATTAATCTCTTTAAAAAACTGTTTGAGAGTAACAGATTATACATAGTCTAAAAATTAATATTTGTGGCTAATTGGGAGACAGATATATGAAAAGGGTTTTCATAAAAAAGAAAAGAGTAATTATAACAATTAAAAATATTATCTATCATTTAAGACAGATAATATCTTTACATCACTGACTGAAATCTACAAACCACAGGGTACACAAATAAACAAAGTAATTATGTATCTGTAAGTAAACAAAAATTTGCTTGGCACAATGTTTTGGACGAGTAATTTATAATTAGTACATCCATCATTTGTACATTGGTACTTAAACTGTAAGCAATCATGTTTCCACAATAGAATTATTGTTAAGCTTAAGATATTATAGAGAGACTTCATGATTACAGTTTAATCACCAATACTTCCATTATCTCAATTTATTAAATAATGCAACCCCCAAATAGATTTAACTTTTAAAAAAGACAATGAAACATCAATTATGCTGATATAAAATGTTCTCACACTTTTAAGGATTTTGAAGAAAAAGCAACAACTTAATACCAAATGAATTTTACAAGCCTGTTTTTAGATACTGGTTAGACTATGTAACAGGGACACAACATTTACTACACAGCCACCTCTGAGGTAAACAAACTTGAAAGCATTTTTCCACATATTCTAGGATCTAAAAAGTTGAAATGTGAAGAGCCAGATAGTAAATATTTTAGACTCTATACGCCACATACAGTCTCTATCACATATTCTTCTTCTTTGTTAGTATCCCTTTAAAATGAAAAATTTATTCTTAGCTAGGGAGCTGGACCAAAATAAAATGC